TGCCCTGCATTTGTAGAATTAAAGTCCCATTAGCTTCCTGATTTTATTGACTGTGTTTCTGCTAACCTCACTGGCTGGGAGGGCCCTTCCTTCACCCTCCCCTGCGCCTGCGGAGGTGTGTGTTTACGCATCTCTTTGGGTCATTAGGTAAAAGGAACGCCACACTTCTCTTACTTGGCAACATGTTTAAACATGAGCCCGTTTTTACTTCTCAACTTACTTTCCTGTCAACACACATGTAAATCTGTACAATCACAACTCAGGGACACTCCCATGTGCTTTTCAAATACATATTTTTTAAGATTGTTTAAATTTAACTTTTTGGTTAAATTTGGTAAGCTGCCAGCTTTTAAATAGACGTGTATATAACTATGAAGAATTTTGTGCTAAAATCTGTGGGAGAAACCACTCTAAGTGAATGCTTTGTAAGGTTTGAAATAGATAAATTGGATTTGTTTTCAACCCAGGAGAGACTGTAATCATAGCTTTGATTCTAGGTCATAAAATTAGGTCTCAGACAATGAAACCATCAAAAAAATATTTAGTGGCTACTGAAGTGTTGAAGTTCTTGTTATTGGAGTCAATTTTACTTGGTATGCTGAAATGCACCAATCTTAGGTGCACGTTTTGATAAATGTTTATCTCTGTGTGACTGTCATCGCAGTCAAGATATACCATCATCTCCCACAGGCCTCTGCCCACCCCCACAGGCAACAGTGGCTCTGACTTCTATCACCATTGTGAGTTTTGCCTGTGCTGGATTCATCCAGTATGTACTCTTCTGGGTCTGTTTTCTCTCCAGCAACATGGTTTTGATCCATGTTATTTGATAATGTTTTTATTCATATTGCATTTATGACTGATTCTTTTTTATTGTGGATATTACATGAATATATCACAATTTATATGTTCTTCTGTTAGAAATCTGGGTTGTTTCCAGGTTTTGTCTATAAATGATACAGTTATAAACCAAAAAAAATCTAATAAGTGAAAAGCAACAGCCTAGTTTACAAATGTCCCCCTATAATCTGGTTGAGCGTGGAACTAGGGGATTTGTGTTCCCCCAAAGGAAGGGCTGAGGTCCCACAGAGAGGACTGCCGAGAGGCAGATTTTGTTTGAATTAGACATGGTTTACCATGTTCTTTTCCGGGGAGTTCTCAGCCCAACCTAATCATCGCACATATCAAAATGATCTGGACCTACTGACCCAAATGAGTCTCAGGCAACACCAGAGGTGGTAGAGAAGATGAATTTTGGTGTTGCATGGATGGACATAAATGTTCATTTTTATAGTTACCTTATATTTATGACAAATAATAAAGTGCTAACTTTAACCCTGCCCTGGCCATTTACTCCCTGGGTCATCTTTAGCAAGCTACTCTCCAAGTTTGCTTCAGAATCTAACAAATGGGATATTAGTACAGTCTATATATATGAAGATTAAGTGATAATGTATGTGATACTTGTAGCACATAGTGAGTGCTTGATAAACTTCTGGTATTTCACTGCAGGAATCAACAATCCTGTGAATAACCAAGCATCAACTGGGGATTGAAGACTCAAAGGTATGGGTCTGTGAGGTCATCACTTCTGGCTCTCATGAACCCCCCCAGGACACAACTTTATTTTTATTTTTTTAAAATATATTTTATTGATTTTGTACAGAGAGGAAGGGAGAGAGATAGAGTTAGAAACATCGATGAGAGAGAGTCATCGATCAGTTGCCTCTTGCACACCTCCTACTGGGGATGTGCCCGCAACCAAGGTACATGCCCTGGACCAGAATCGAACCCGGGTCCCTTCAGTCCCCAAGCTGATGCTCTATCCATTGAGCTAAACCGGTTTCGGCCCAGGACACAACTTTAAAAAGGCATGAATGGGCAAAAGATATATACCCTGGCAAGAAAGAAAACATCACCTCTGCCTAGCCAGTGTGGCTCAGTGGTTGAGCATCGATTCATGAACCAGGTCACTGGTTCCATTCCCGGTCAGGGCACATGCCTGGGTTGTGGGCTCAATCCCCAATAGGGAGGAAGGGGTGCAGGAGGTAGCCAATCAATGTTTCTCTCTTGTTGATGTTCCTCTTTATATGTCCCTCTCTATTCCTCTTTAAAATCAAACATATTTAAAAAAGTCACCTCTGACATCCCAAGACTAAGCTCTCAGTTGTAACACTCCAAATCCCTGTAACTTCCTTCCAGGCAAATGCCACACCCCAAACCCCAAACATTAAGTTTTCAGTTATAGAGCAGGAAGGCAATGAGGGAATGGTGCCAGGTGGTTCTACTTGACAGCACTGCAGTCACTCAGGGGGGGCTTCTCAAGAATCCTGAGCCTGGACTCACGGCCTGCGGCTCTGACTGGGCAGGGTAGGCCCCTCTTCACTGTGAATACTGCCCAGGTGACTTGAGCGCACAGTAGGGTGAAGACACCCTGGCTTAGCTCACTAACACGGGCTCAGTCCAGCCCTGGCCTCCAGGATAGGGTGGAAGTGTTAACGCCCGATTGGGCTGAGTAGAACCACAGGCCTCCTCCTGAGGGCTGAATTCTGCAGGCTCCTTGGTGAGTAGCAATAGTCAGCTTCGTTTCAGCAGGCTTAGAGAGAAGAGCGGCCTCAGTTTTTTGATCACTGGTACAGTGTTTTATCTTTCAGGTTCCTTCCGCAGTTTCTTTTCTCTGGTCACAAGGGAGGAGCCCCAGAGAGCATTGATTTGCTCATTCGCCACCCACAAACCTCTTTCCTGCCCCGTTAGGTCTGGCTGGAGGCTCAAGTGAATTCTTTGCAACTCAAATTTGGATCAGTTTTTGAAATCTTGCCTGGGAGAGTGGCGGGCCTAGGTCCACTAAGCTACCCCAGACTCGATGTGGTCACTAAAAGCAAATCCGTTATTGTCAATCTGCTCAGGACAGCTGCAGCTTCCCTCGTATTCCTGAGTCCTTGAGTGAGGGCCTGGAACTCATCTACAAAGTATCAGGTTTAGGAAAGTCAGTGATGCAAAGCTCGAATGGGTGCCAGGCATCTCAAGTCCCGATGCTGGTTCCTTGGGGAAATCTTGGCACCCTCTGCCTTCTAAGCTCTGTCCCAGGCATGTGAGGCCAGGGGTGCCTGGACAATCTGACAACGGAAACTGGCTCTGGTGTCATTTCAGAAACCTGCTCATCAGAAAGGCCTGCACTGGCAGACTTGCCTGTACTCGATTTCCATTTCACTTTGGTTCCTGATCTTGGGCTGTAGTCCATTCAAGCAGAAAGTACTTTTGTTTTGTTTTTTTTTTCCATATCCTCACAAATATAAGCTACACATTTTTAATCTAGGACTTGTAGCTCATTTGCAGGATGTACCGAAATAAATCAAACATCTGGATTTGACTTGCCATTGGGTTGTTTTCCAAGGAAGATCCAGGGTGAAAACTGCAAGATTTGAGAAGGCCTCAGACTTTGGGCCCCTGGGGCTGGTCTCCATGGGTGGAAGAAAGCTTATAACTAACATTGCTTGGGCATTTTCGAGACTCCTGCTATCAAGTATGTGGGGCTTTCCCCACCCTGTCTCTAACACAGAATCATTGTGTCTCATGGAATTACTCAGCAAAATAATTACTTTAGGTTTACTACACTGATGCCAACCAGTAAGTGCCCAACCACTGTTCTTATGTTGTTGATTTTTAAAAAATATATTTTATTGATTTTTTACAGCGAGAAAGGGAGAGAGATAGAGAGCTAGAAACGTCGATGAGAAATATCGACCAGCTGCCTCTTGCACACCCCCTACCGGGGATGTGCCCGCAACCAAGGTACATGCCCTTGATCAGAATCGAACCTGGGACCTTTCAGTCCGCAGACCGATGCTCTACCGCTGAGCCAAACCGGTTTCGGCATGTTGTTGATTCTTAAAAAACTATGCAAAAAACTCTTAACCATTTAGTTATGGCCAGGCTATCAGATTTAAGTGAAAAGTTGTGTTAAATACATATGGCAGCCTTAAAAAAAACCTGCATGATAAAATAGGAAGGCACATTAGATCCCAAGAAATAAAAATACCAAGATAAAGAGAAGGAAAGCTCACAGCTTCATTCTTGGATGTAAGGTCTATCCCACAAAGACTACTAATTGCACAAAACTAGGAAAAGTCCAAAATAGTTGGTTATATTTAAGCTGTTTCCAACTTGTAATTAGATTTGCATGTGTAAATCTGCTTTTCTGTATTATACACAGAAAATTAAAAAGAAAAGAAAAAAAGAACAGGGAACAAATTTCCAAGGATGAAATCTCCACATTTATTTTCTTTCATGTGCATAGAAAATGGCAGTGAAGTGTCCTAGGAAAGAGGCAGGGAATGGCCGTGGTGCTGCTATACCAGACTGGACTTTGTGCTTCAAAAGTACACTATTCATTTTGAAAACAAACGCTGTAGCTTGTCTTTAATTGCTAACAATTTCTTGGGTTTCCCATTTGTTTTTTAAGCTGTCAAGTTTCTTCAAATCTCTTTTCAAATGACACACTGCATTACAAATGATGGCACTTAACCAATGTGGCATTTCCATATTTACACCAACAAAAGAAATTTACAAGACATAATAGCATACAATCTCGACGTTTAGTAATAGCAATAAAACATGAAGGGCATCCATTTTATTATTTTTTTTCTGTACAAACTATCAGAACATAACTTTATTCACATTAAAAAAATCATCTTTAATTTGATTTGACCTACACATCCCCATCTCATTTCACCCATTTCTCAAATCTCTCATCACATCGCCCACACCTTCACCGGACTACAGAATCTACAAGTAATTAGATCTAACACCTAAATAGAGCTTAGAAAGTTCTCTCTCTCTCAAAGGTTTCCTCACTTCCCTGATTAATTCCTCAAAAAAGAAAATAAATGCTCTTCACTCATTCCTTCCATGTCACTTTCACATTTCATCAGCACAACAGACTTTTCGTTTCAATCCAAACAAGGCTAGAAAGAAAGAGTTCCTCTCTGAGCATCTTGATGCTACACCCACGAGTCTGGGGACCCTGGGTACTGTTCTGCTCTATAAGAAGGTCGTTTAGTGGAATAAAAGTCTACATAGTTTGTGGTCGATTTCAGTCCATACTGTGAATAATCAGTAGAAGCTGGAAAGTGAACTCGATCATCAAAATAAGGATCTTCATAGCTATGAGGAGACTGCAAATACAATCTGTAAGCATCAAAGTTCTTTCTGTGGGAGTCATCTTGACTATAATACAGCTGTTGATGCTGTTGACAAAATGAAAAAGCAAATAAATCAAAGCAATACTTGGAAATACATGTTTAAAGAAAATTAATGTGTGCTTCCTGCTTTGTATTTTAAAAGCAATATTCAGTATTTGTGAGCTTAAGGTTCAAACTTGTCTCTGGTACACACTGTAATGCTTACTAATGGACTCGAAGGATTTGAACTACGTTGACAGTTGGGCTCGCAGTCTGCTCAAGTCCCGTCTCAAGACCTCTACAAGCTGATGTCTCAGAAAAGGCCAAGACAGTCCCAGGCTCCCCCCTCCTCAGAGGCCCAGCTTGTGCTCCGCTGTGGAGGGCTTATTACCTGGACTTGCCCAGCCAAAGGGTGGCTGATTACTGCTCTGATACAGGGAACCATTAGGACACGAGGAATTTAGTTGGAGGGTGGATTTTTTGGCTTCAGATTGTTGTACAATTGTAGAACCTTCTTTTAATTTAAACATCTACTTTAGATGAAAATTTAGTCCATCCCTCAATTTTAGAGAAATGTGTAGTTACACTTTAAAAACCCTGCTATACTGTTAAAAAGAATAAGCAGTCTCCAGGCAGGAGAGCAGTAAAATTACAAGAGCTACGTGACCAAATCTGAGGCTAAAGGAAAGACTTCCCTAGGCCAGGGCTGATGAAGTGGACTAGGAAGAAGCAAGGTGAACACATGTGCATCCACACGGCATCTCCCATTTCCTTCTGTGTTGTCTTATCTCTGATCTTACATTACTTTTTTCAAAGATGTTTGGAGAAAAACTGTCATGTCTTTCTTATGTCTGTATTTCCTCTTGACCATGCCCCAATCCCCCCGTTTAGTAACAAATTTACCACACGGATTATCAACTCATATTCTGTAACTAAATGCAGTCCAACATTATATGGAATTCGGAGCTAAATTCTCTTTTTAACTTAAGTTCTGATTCTGAGGCTATTTCTCTTGGTTAAAAAACTATAGCATAACTTCTGAGTAACCTGGGAAGTTGCTTTTCCTCTACCCCCCAGAGAAAAGATGAGATGGAGGGAGGTCTCAGAGAACCCTCATCTGAAAGACAGGTGCAGGCTGCTTGGGGAGCCCCAGCTGCTCGGGAGCCAGTGGAAGGTAGGAGGAGAGACCCAATGACCCAGGTGGACGGCATCAGGAAGAACCCAAATGAAGTTCAGGCTCCCTGTGAAAGCAGAGACTGAACGTGACAACCATGCACCCCAGTGTGATGGAGAGTGGGGCTCCCTGCTGCAGGGCGGAGTCCACCTTCACCTCTGAGACTAACAGAGCACTGGCCACGAGCCGAGTGTTTTCAAACCCTGGAAGCCTCCTGGGGAGGGAGTCATGGAGATGGAGAATGAGGTGCACAAAGGAGAACAATGAGATGAGAGAACGAAGTGTGCTTACCAACCTTTCCCACCCAGAGGACGCGAGAGCTTTTAGAGATCAAAGGAAGAGAAAAGTGGAAAAGGAAATTGTTGGGCAAAAAAATAGGAATCAAAGGCTTCCCAGCAGGTTCCCATCAGTGGCACGGTGGTCTCAGCAGCACCGATTCGGATACTCAAGACATAAGGCTACTGTGCAAGTGATTTGCTTAAACTATGATGAGCTTCCGAGGAGTGGAGATCCCCAGAGAGAGCTCCCTGGGCCCCGCCGTGCTGGCCCAGCTCTGGTAAGTCAACGGCGCGGCCCCCTTACTGTGCTGACGCCTGCTAATCGGCCTTCTGTAAAATTGATATTGCAAATTCACCTGTAGCCGTCTATTTTGTTCTCTTGCTGGTGAGGAATAGGAACTGATGTAAATTGGTGAAGGTTTGCTGGAGCCTGTAAGAAAATATTTTATGAAATTAAAACTAGTGCTCATTACTCTCGTCATCAGGCTGCATGGGCTCCCTGCGGTGGGGCTGCTGTGTCCCTGACAGGGCTGCCTCCCCGGGGCCAGCGCACGCGGGGACAGTGGGCTCCTGGGTCTGGCCTGGCCGCTCTTACCCCAGGGCTGCCGGACCCATGGATAGGCTCTGCGTGCTTTACCACAATCAATGGGTCTGATGGGGAAGGGGAACATCAGAACAAGCTCCATGCCTTCAGAACGGCTTTGACTCAAAACCCCAGGACCTGAAGAAACAGGCACATGTTTCTAAGCGGTCTGACTACATGGAGGCATATTCTTGGGTTTGCCACATTTAAGCACATTTTAAAATAAAAAATAAAAACCTGGCAATCAGATAGCTGTCTTTAAGAGTCCACAGTAGACTCTAATGCCAATGATGTCACAGGTTGCTGTTCTATTATTGCTAAGGCTAGCAAAGTTTTTTTTGTTTTGTTTTGTTTTTTAATGAGGAAAATGAAACATACTTGAGGCAAATTAGTTTATTGAAGCAAGCAAAGAAAATACAGAAGGGTGCGCATGCTATGGAGGCAATCTTTATAATAAAACTGGTTGCTGCAAATCTGAAGTAGCAGCACTTCAGTTTGTAGGTGCATTTCCTTTGCAAAGAGCTGGATGCTGGAAATGTAGCATCTGCAATTTTCTGAGCTATTAATTGCCATAGTAACAATAGTCGATTAGCAAACAGTCCTGTGAAATCACAATTTCAATGACAACAGCACAACAGAGACTGTTCCCCCAGCAGTTAGGTTGCCATCAGCTTTTATTTATTTCTTTTTAATAAACTGTTCTTTTGAGAAAAGAGTACTTTTTTTTGGTAGCTCACACTGCCTTTTTTGAAACACCTAAAGTAGTTACAATATGCAAGATAGCCAAGCACAGGGTCGATATGAAATCCTGGTAACCCTCTAGGCTGGCATCCTTTCGGAATAGGACATACAATAGTAATACTAATAATTTTAATTTTTGTTATTCTTAAAAAAAACCCAACACATTTTATACTGTTATTCAAACTCTTTTCCATAAAAATGTAAATTTTCTCACTCTCAGGCCGGTCTAGGACAGGTGGCAGGCACAGTGGCTCTGGGCTCTGACCTGCTGGTGAGCAGGAAAGGGGCTGAACAAAAGGGCTGTGTGGTGGGTGAGCCAGAACTCATGTCTCATCTGGGTGCAGTGCGTTTTTTAGCTGTGGTCACCAGACCACTACCTCAGCTTATTTAACTGGAAACAAGCAGAAAAGGCAACAGCCCCCAAAGCAGGAAATGGAGAGATTGGAACACGGTTTGCTGCTGGGGGACCGACTCAGGGCAGGCATCTGTCCAGGCCGCCAGTTGGGGGCCTGGAAACACATGGCTTCTCGAGGTACTCTATCACACACCCAACTGGCATCTTACCAGGGTACAGGCCTTTATATGTGGCATCCCCTTGGCTATTGTAATACTGCATAGGTGGCTGGGTCCTATCGTATTCAGAGCGAGGGTCTCTGATGCCTAACAGTGCTGGTGAGGAGGAGGTGCTGCCGACTGAAGGGAGAAAGAAGCAAAAGGAGGAGAGAGGGAGAAAGAGGAGGAGAAAGAAAGAAATCAGACTGTCAGTGGCTCTGGAAAAACAAAGGTCAGCAATTAGTAGTGCCGTGCAGCTGGTGCTAAGTACGACCTCTTAGTGGTGCTGTGAGTGCCCAGCAGTCAGCCCCGAGCCACCGGGAGGCGGCCTGCAGGCTGCCCCTGCACAGTGCAGTCAACGCCGCGATGACTCCATCGGCCCTTTGAAACTGCGTGAGAACAACAGCCATGCAAGAGTTACAGCTTCGATGTATAAGCCCCGCTCAGCTGCATGTAAAACACCCATCTATTATCCTTTCTGTGTAGCTCTTGAGTAAATATTTTGATTTCTAATTATTTCAAAAATATCTGCATCTCTAAATGTGTTTGAATAAGAGTGCCAGACCATAAAATTCATCATTCTTCTTATGGTGATTGGCTGCCAGGGAAGCTATGTAAACGCAGTTAGCCCAGCTATTAAGAGGCTCACGGTGGGCCAGACGTTTAATAGCATATCTATTCACGGGCCTCCTTTTGGACATTTTTGCACAAAAGGACAGTACTGCTTATCTTTTGCCTTCCTCTCAGCAAATCATCTTGCTTGCGCTGAAGTTAATTAGAGATGAGTCACCCATTCCCCTACTGGACCTGAAAGCATGGCGCCTGGACCGGGCACCAGCAGTTCTGCTGCGCTGATGTTTTTGGAGAAAGACTGACATTCACAGTGTCCCTTAAAAGTCACTTCACTTCGGAGCTGCTCCGTGTCACACAAAGGTGAGCACTCCTGGGCAGTGTGCATGTGCTGCTCCCTGTGCTCACTTTCTAGAAGGTGCTAGAACAGACAGCACACCCACCTGCCTCCACAATGACATAAGTGAGGCATCAGTTGTGCCCACAAGCAGATACCACACTAGCTGAGGGATGGGTCACGAGTCCTTAGCTGAACGGAACCCAGAAAGGTACCTAGGAACCTGGATTGGCCTCACCAATGCTGTCCAGTGTTGCAGAGATCCCCAAAACAAGTGGGTTAGTTAGTAACTCGTCTTCATCTATCTGAAATTTCCCTTCTGCCTGGACATATGCCTTCTGTTAAGAAGTCCAATCTCTTCCCCTTGCACCCCCTTTTCTAAGACCCAAAGTAATTCTCAGCGTTTTTATAAAGAAGACAGCCTCAGGCCACACCTGGGAGCTCAGCACGGATGTCAAAAACCAAGCATGGGTCTCTCTGAAGACAACTCATTTTTTAAAAAGTAAGATATAAATATACACCATACGCAGTAGGCACAGATAATTTAAAACAATCCCTAGAATGAGTAGGGACATCCATTTATGTGACAAGGACCACTGGTCATATATTAGTCTTTTTGGACACATATGTCCAGATGAGAATACTGCCTGTAGTGGCAGAGAAGACCACAGCTCTCCCAGGCTGTGGGTGTTCAGGTCTTGTTTAAAAGACTCTGTTTGTTAAGAGTTTTCACCTGGAAAACTCAAGCTCACTTTGGAAGAGATTCCAAATTGATGGCCAGCAGGTAGGCAGGGCAACCATTTTCAGGCACAAACTTGGGGTTCTCAGACTGAGCTCTGCCACCTCCCTGTATTGCACCTCCAGGTCAGCTTATAAAATGCAGGTTGCTGGGCCCCTTCATAAAACCAGTGAAGCTTGGGGGAGGGAAAGGACTGGGACCGTGGGATCCTTTCATGCATTGCAGTTGAAGTAAATTTGCATAAACTTTTAAAATGAAAGGACCTGGAAAGTGGGTTTGTTGCTTACAGTCTCATGTAATTCCCAAAGAAGGCTGGAAGAGCAGAGTGCTTGAGTATGACTGGCTTAACCAGTTATGCGCAGTCTCCTCTAGATGAGAAATAATGTCCTCTCACCAAGGAGGGAGTTTACCGACTCACCTGACTGGATGATGGGTGACATCTGTTGGTTGGTAGTAGACAAGGAAGGGTGCGATTTGAATCGGTCTCGCTCTAACGTCGACACAGGTGTAATAAAATGGTTCTGATTCCACCCATCCTGTGGAGTCAAAGCGGAAAAAGAAACCTCTCAAAATGAATAATGACATTTCATTACAATAAATGATTACAAATGTGCACTCTGATGAATGCTAATTATGCCAGAGCTATTCCTGTAAGTTACCTTTTTATAAATGCTGCGGAGGTCCCGATATTGCCATAATGTATTCAAGACCTGGGCTGCTGCCTTCACCACTTTCAGAGATGATCTGGGGAGAGAGTGTGGATGTTAATGGGTGTGGATGGCACAGCCTCAGGCTGCACCTGAAGAGGTTCAGGCTATAACCCAGTGGCCAGGAGGCCATCTCTCCAAGGACCAGACAGGGCACAGAAGACGCTGCTGGAAAAACCACCAGAGTCAGGCACGCCTGGGAATCGGTTAGGCTCAGGGGTGGCAAGGACCAAAGCGAGGCTCCCAGGTAGTCAGCTGTGCGGTGAGAAACTGGTTGGTGGAGCCTGTGACCTCTAAGTTGAGGGCGGCTCTCAGCCTCCCCATGGAGGTCCCCCAGTCTCCCCCACATCTACTAAGGGGCTGGCCTCGCGGGGGCTTTAGGATTAACGTGACCACGGCCACACACCCTGAGTGTCCGAGGACCCTCTCAAGTTAAGTTAATGTCTCTCCCCCTCTATTTTTAGGCCTTGATAAAACACCTTCACTGCCTTATCATTTACCCCACAAATGTTTATATGTACATATGTGCTCCAAAGTTTGATTCAGAAAATATGGCCCATTATCACGTCCCCTCTCTGGAGACATTCTGTGACCCCGGGCGCTGTGTGAGCACTGCTCCCAGGCGCCGCATTTCACTCAGGGGCTGTGTCTGTAATCGGTGGCCTCGCGGGTAAGTGAAGAGGAAAATGCAGCTTCCTGCCTCAGGGACGGTCTTCAGATCCCCCACCAGAGAAGGAGCCGTGCTGAGGCATGAGGGTGAATTCTTCAGAATTCATTTTAACATTAAAAACTGACTTGGAATGTGTATCACGGATCTAAAAATCTGATGGCCTCTTTCACTCCTCATCTTCCCAATTACACTTTCACGAAGCGGGGGAAGAAGAGAGACGAGCAGGCTGCAAGCTGTCTCCACCCCCAACAACAGGATTATGTTGCTGCTACGGAGGCTGAGGTCCCCAGCAAGGGCAGAGTACAGGCAAACTCAGGGCCTTCACCTGTCTTCCTCCATCCCACCTCCCACCAAGGCTCACTCTGCTCTGTGTTCCTGACAAGTCAAGGGCAAAACCAGGTCAAACCAATCCACTCAAAGCCTTTCTATATTTTATGTTTTCAAAATGGACCGCAGAGCAAGGAGATACTTCAAAGAAATGAACAGATGAAATTTCAGACACTGCGATGGCCTCACAGGGTCTTTACACCCCCCCCCCCCCAACAATCCCACTCTCAGTGGGTCCTGACATTCCTGCTGTTACTCACCTCCCTGTCTTTAAGTGTTAGCAGCAGGACCCAGGCAGGAAGGACGACCTATGCCTGGCTCATACCCACAACACTCAACAAAGCAGGAGCCTGCCAGGTACACACCTTTGCACAACCAGCCAAATTCTGCTCGTAGAGACAAATTCTATGAGTAGAAACTTGACTCTCAAGAAAAGCAAGGAAGTTTCTCTGAGTTTCTCTGCTTCACTTCGCAGCACAACTTCTAGAAAGAATTACGTATTCTCATCTCTAATTCCTCTCCTCCCATTTTCTCTCAATCAGGCAAGTCTCGACCCTCATCCCACCTGATGGAGCAGGAGCATGTGACGTGCTCACCTCTGGCATAATAGCATTCATCATGAAGCAGCTCCTTCAGTTGGCTTCTGGGTAACACAGGCCCCTGGTTTTCTTCTGAATGAGCCCATTTGCTGGCTCCTCATCTCTCTGACCTCTAACTAAGAGGGACATCAGCCCCTGAGCATCTTTTTTTTCTCATCTACACTTACTTCTTTATTGATTTCAGCCACTTCTCTAAACATGCTATTTATACAATGATGACTCCCAAATTTTCATTTGTAGCCTGGACCTCTAAAATGAACTCAACTCAAGCATATTTTCCTGCTGATAGACATTCAGGTGGAGTCCAAAGCAAAGTCCTTGCCTTCTTCCCTAAAACTCGCTCCTCCCGCAGGCTTCCCCATGCTGCCCAGTGGCAATTCCATCCTCTCTTTAGCCAAAGACCTTGGAGTCATCCTCTGACATTCACCTCCTCTCTTGCCGCTCACGCAGCCCTTCAGTAAATCCCACTGATGCTACCTTCACCCATGAAGAACCGACCACTGTTTCACCACCCCAAGTCTCCACGTGGGGGGGAGGGTCTGTCATTATGATCCCTTCTCGGGATGTCAGATCGTATCATTCCTCTCTCCACACTCTCCAACAGCTTCCGGTTTTACTCAGCGTAAAAGTCACAGTTCTTAGCTTCCCCACAAGGTCCTTAACTTCTAGTCCTTTCTCTTCTCTTTCCTTTGACCTGCTCTGTTCCCGTCCCACTGTCTTCCCGCTGCTCATCACACACGGGGCACTCCTCCCTCCATCCCAGGGCCCTTCCACTTACACCCCCTGCTCCAACCCTCTTCCCTCAGGCCCTGTCCCCCTGAAGCCTGCCCTGTCTATAATTGCGATCCCCTATCGCCTTCCCTGACTTTACTGCTCACAGTCCACTCAGCACCACCCAGGTGTGTTCCTCACTCAACTGATACCTTGTCTAGCTCTAACTCACCCTGGGATGTAAGCTGCCTGAGGATAGAGACTGCTGTGTGATCCACTCACCACAGGCAGCACAAGGCAGGTGAATGAAGAAGGAAAGGTAATATGTTTGGAAAACAACTTGATTTGATCTAGGACTTTCTGAATCTCTTGCTTTGGGGAAAAAGATCAGATTGGGTAATAATTTTTTAAAAAAGATATGAGGTTTTGGTACTGGTTCAGGATTTCCCCAGCTTCTTTGTATGTCTTTCACAAATGAAGGCTAACAACATTTTTTTCTTTTTTCTTTTTAAGTTTCAGAGAAGAAGGGAGAGGGGGAGAGAGAGACAGAAACATCAATGATGAGAGAGAATCATCGGTTGGCTGCCTCCAGCACCCCCACTCCTCCAAACCCACCCCTGCCAGGGATTGAGCCTCCTCCTGACCAGGAGTTGAACTGTGACCTCCTGGTTCATAGGTTGATGCTCAACTACTGAGCCACACTGGCTGGGCTAACAACATTTTAAGAGCACAAAAAGTTATTACCATATCTTAGGGAGAAGGGAGAGACCTGGATTGGGAGTTGACAAATGGATCTTAGCTTTATCTAGACATTTTATTTCCTTTAAAATAAAAATGACCGTTTTTATTACTAACTAGAGGCTTGGTGCATGAAAATTCATTCACTGGAGGGGGAGGTGGGGCTCCCTCAGCCCAGCCTGTCCCCTCTCACAGTCCAAGAGCCCTCAGGGGCGGGAGGCAATGACCCATCACACCTCTGCTGCTGCCACTGCGGGCAGTGCAAGCCTCGGTCAGTCCTGGTTACCTAAGCCTCGGGCTGGCCGTGGGCGGCTGGGCAGCTGCCACCTGAGGCTTGCCTGTACCTCAGGCCAGCCCTGCACGTCTGGGGTCTGAGGAGACTGGGGGATTCTGGAGGCAGATATGCAGAGCAGCAAGGCCTGCCCAGGCGCCTGCTCAGGCAGGGCTGAGAGGACTGGGTGCCGCCATCTTATGGCTGTGGGCGCTGCCATCTTTTAGGGTGGGGCAATCAATTAGCATATTCCCTCCTTATTGGCTGTGGGCGCCGCCATCTTTATGATGGCACGAGGGTCAATTAGCATACTTCCTCTTTATTAAATAGGATGGAATAAAAAGATTCATTAAAAAAGGACTGAAAGGAAATATGGTTAATGCTGATAGGTGTAGTTTCTGAGGGATGAGAATATACCTTGTAACATAATTCTTACATCTTAGAAAAATCTTCATAAGTACAAACTAAAAGACCAGACAAGGCAGAATGAGTTCTAACACTGTCATTCAGTCAATTAATAAGTATTTACTGAGCATCTGTTATAAGGCAGGCTTTGCCGACGCAGAGGATACAGCAGTGAACGAAAAGACCAAGTCCCTGCTGCAGGGGGAGCAGAAGCCAGGGAAAGCCATAAATAACACTGGGGAGCCAGTGCTGTGAGAAGAGAGCAGGTGGAGGGAGGGAGAGGGAGATCAGGGCCACTTACTTCAAGTGGCTGCTGTGCTATTGTATAGCGAATGCAGCCCCACTTCCCACTTCCTTGAAAGAGACTATGATTTGATACTAAACCCAATTCATAATTCTGCTAGAGCTCTACGACAAAAACCTTCTATTTTTGCCACTGATTCTCTAATCCCTACTTTTGTTGCTTTGTCAATTAGGTGTCACCTAAAAGCAAAAAGAAATGCAGGAGCCAAGCCCAGGGCACAGCCTGAGGCCACACAGCAGGCCCTGTGCAGAAAGGTGAGTTTAATACACTCTGGACACCTGCAGAGGAATCAACCCTCAACAGAGGATTCAAGAAGATGCTTCTGAAGAACAGGCCTGAAGCAGAGAGGAAGAAGCTAGGGAAACAGCGCCCCAGATCTTCCTCATCATGCATTTCTTCTTCTTCTTCTTTTTTTTTTTTTTTTAATATATTTTATTGATTTTGTACAGAGAAGAAGGGAGAGAGATAGAGAGTTAGAAACATCGATGCGAGAGAGTCATCGATCAGCTGCCTCTTGCATCCCCCCTGCTGGGGATATGCCCGCAACCAAGGTACATGTCCTTGACCGGAATCGAACCCGGGACCCTTCAGTCCCCAAGTCGACGCTCTATCCATTGAGCCAAACCGGTCTAGGCTCATCATGCATTTCTGATTCTTCTAGGGTTGGCACAACCAAGTGTAGAGGTGTTACAAAAAAGACCAGGAAAAGGACCACATGACCACAAACCCGCTGTAAAAAATGCAGAAATAGCCCTGACTGGTGTGGCTCAGTGATTAAGTATTGGCTAGTGCACCAAAGACTCTTGATTCCCGACAAGGGCACATTCCTGGGTTGTAGGTTCAATCCACAGCTTGTGGAAGGCAACCAATTGGTATGTCTTATCTCCCTCCATCTCCTGCTTTCCCTTCCATTCTCCCTAAAAACAACGGAAAAAACATCCTCAGGCGAGGATTTAAAAATATGCAGAAATAAACACATCCTTTCCAATAGGAAGCATATCCTGGACAAAGGCCCTTATCAAACAGGATGATCCCAGGAGTGAGGCTGTGACCTCGGCTCCCAGCAGCAGACTTGCCTGTCTCCTCTGCCCTTGGTTATGTTCACCAGCTTTTCAATGCCCCCGGAGTCGGCCAGGGCTTTGGCATTTTCCATGTTTTTGCTGGTGACCTCATGCAGAGCACAGCAGATGGCCGCCATGGTCTCATCAGACAGCACACTGGGGCCCGAGCCTCCGGGGAGCCGGTTGACCAGGTCTCGCATGGCGTATTTACCTGCCAAATGCAAAAAACTTCATTCTACTTTCAGAAGGTGCAAGGTTTTTGTTATTGTTCTTTAAAGATGGCGGCTGGGTAGCCTCATGAAAACAAAACACCGGGAGAGGAGATAATAGGGGAACCGCCATGAAGGGCAAAAGGACAGACACAAGGGGAAGTTAACATGCACTGCAATGGCACATGAAGAAATGAATGATTTAATAAAACATTACTGTAAATCGCTGAAAGAGAATGTAAGTCAGTGGATAAAACTGGATACACCAATCATGTTGCTTTAGTTCAACCATTTTCTCTAACAGTTAAGAAATAAAGGAATTATGATAAAAAATTTTATTCTTGACTAAATTCTCATGCGTCAAAAATACCTCAGCTTCCTCTTAAAGCTCTAAAAGCTGATCTTTGAATAAGGGTTAGCCAGACAAAGTAGGATCCCCAAACAAAGGTCTTCATTACATTCTCCTGGATCTCACCACTTGTACCATGCAGAGTTCCACATTTTTATCAAGCTGAGAGGACACAGCAGCTGTTGACATCAGTAGTGATATCAACATGTCGTTTCTTTTAAAGAAGACATCAGATAATTATGGGTCTATATCTCCCTGGAGCAACTCAACAATAATAAAGTTCTTGGTAAGACAGGCTGGGGAGTCCACTCGCTACTGAGATATTTAAGAAACTCAATTTCTCGTACTCTTCTCCAAAAAGAGATTATCTCTTGCTTTTCCAATTTCAATTACCAAGTGACAAACTGGAATAATTGCACTACAAACAAAAGAAATTAACTGAAGCCCAAGTAAATATTTCCTTAGTTTTTCCCCTCAGCTAATAATTGAGTGGATATTAAGGGCTTTGGTGAAGGCCCTATTTGTATTTGCTGGGGAGCAGCGGACAGGCCCTGAGCACACATTGCCCGCCTGAGGGCCAGTCTCGGCACACACAGTTGCGCAGAGCGGAAAAGCCGTGGTGACACTGTGAGCCCGGAGATAGATGTGGTTTTTAAGAACAGATGGTAAGTGAGCACTAGTGACTGTGAATACTCATGAACAACCGAAAGGTCCACGACGTGTAATTTGTCATTCTGCTAAGATACCACATTAAACAAATTGTACTCCTGACTCTTAGGATAAAGCAAAGCAGGGGTGGGGAATGATTGGCCAGCAAAATCATACTGCCACGGCATTAGGGCGAGTTAATTAAATGTTTGACCAAATATAGAATGCTAATTTTTAAGTTCATAATCTTGTGTGGCCTGGAAATATCCAGGTGGCCCCTGACAGGAAAAAGGGTCCCCACCCCTGCATTAGAGCCTGCAGCTCCAGACAGCTGGGTTGGTTGGACTCAGGTGAGTATGCAGGTGACAAAACTTTAATTGTAAAAATGTCTCTGAAGAGAAAGTCCTCTCTTAGTGCTGGTGATAGATGTGAGGAGGGATTGGAAGGGTCAGAGAAGGGAACGGTTCTTAGGAACAGGAGTGCTGGGCAACTTAAGAGTCTGGGAGAGACTCAGACCTCAAAAGAAGGAAGGAATCTTTATTGGGAAACAAGAAAAAGTGGCTCATGAGCTGGTCCAAGAGTGCCAGGTGGGTAAACAATGCTCATCAGTGGAGAGAGAAAGTGCCCGTCAAAGTGTAAAAGGGACGTGGGACGTTCACAGGCAGCACAGGACGCAGAGGGGGGCGGGGACTCAGTACAGGGACAGGCTCCCTTTCCAGGAGGACTCGGGCCAGTGCTGCTGGCCCTGCACCCTTTGCTTTCCCGTGCCTCCTCCCCGTGGCGAATGACAGGCCATTGGGTTTATGTTGTCAACCTTTTATTTTTCAGCATTAAGAACTCCCAAACCACTTGTGCTTTTTAAAAGAAATTCAAATACAGATGTAACAAAATAACTCTAAAAACATCTTTGGGGACCGACAGGATTTCTCTTAAGGAAGTGTGGGAAGTAAGTTATGACACATCTGCTGGAAGCAGGCTCACGCTCGACTGCAGGAACAGAGGCTCCTTTCCTCTCTGGGGGGATGAAGTGGCTCAAAGAAACGGGGTGTTGAGAGTAGGGTAATCTAGGGGATAATTTAGAACAGCAAGTGTACCACTGAAGGCTCACATTAAGTCTTTAAGGCAAACATTACTGCCCTTGTTTTCTCTCTCTTCCCAACTTTAACTCGTTCTCCCTCCCTCTCTAATGGCAGGTGTGTTTTAATTACTTCAATATATATTCACGAATCCACACAGGGTCTTGTGAAATTTCCCCTGCCTCTCTCCTGAACGGTCAGCAGCTGTGGGACTGGCGTGGAGCTTGGTGGTTCATAAGCAGCTGCCTCGCCTCTCATCTCATTTGCACAGCAGATTCACGGTGAGGGGAGCAGGCATCGTCAGCTCCCTTTCGGGGGGTGGCTGAGGGAGAGTGCAACTTGGAAGAAGGCACTGAGTCCCAGAGGCTCCATACAAGACCCTCCAGGTTCCACAGCCAGTGAGCAGCAGAGCCAGGACTTCACCTAAATCTGGGAGAGTCTCTGGTCTTCTCTTTACCCCATTCTCTGCTGGGGATATGGCACCGCACTGGAGGCAAGTGAGCTAAGCCGACCAGGGTGCACAACTTGAAGAGCTGCTCATTCTCAGGTTCATGCAAGAGCCAACCCTACGCTTGGGTGGATGTGAGGATAAACGCCTCCTAAATGTACTGAGTGCTTCACTTGCCTGACCCTCGCCTGCCCCTGCCCAAGGGGGAAATGGCCTTGGGACAGTGACTCTGCTCCGCCTAGGGTGAGCATTTATCCAGATCAAGAGGGAAAGGCTACAAACCTTCATGTGGTTTCTTTTTTTTACTTTAATGTAGGAAGATTGTAGTATGGGTACTATTAGTCTCAAGTCAGGAAAAGAGAATTAAACATTTTCTTGATGCTCAAGAAACGAACCTTTCTTAGGAAACAAAGACATCAACTCTATTAAGTAGTGCTGTAAAGTATAATGGAAAATGCTAGCTTTTCTGATTAAGGTTTAATTAATGAGCCTGCCTCTTGATGAAAAGGAATGGTCACAAAGAAAAGCTGGCCAGGGTACCCAAAACTGCCGAGAAAACAGGACCACGATGCAAGGCATTTTAAATGTCATATCGATATTTGTATAAATAAAAAGAGTTTTATAAATGCTGTAGTTACTCCTCCTCTCTCTCTGTAGCTCACCTGGTCGCCAGAACCTACCTATGAGCTCCTTGTTTCGAACATCCAGTGCCATGTTCCTCAAGGCAGTGGCCACAGAAGAAACCACTCTGTCGTTATCCATTCTCAGAAGCTCTACAAGGATGGGGAGCCCTTTTTCTTTGCGGACGGCTGCCCGGATATATGCTGCAAACTAATGAGAAAAACAAGGCAATTAGTAAAATAGAACAGAGTTCAGCTCTTAGATGCTATTGTTGCCTAAAAATGATAAACTAATAGATTAAATGTTTTCTTTCCAATTGGAGATTAAATTTGTGGTGCCAGTAAAGAGAAAAATCATAGTTTGGGATAAAGATAGGCTGGGATGACCGATTTAAAAAGAAATCCCAAAGCCTGAACATCTCAAACCACCATCTGCCAGATACTGTGCAGAAAAGAGAAGGCAGTGATTACTGGCTGCCTCAGCCACATAAACACGATTAAGGAAGAATCTCGATCTTCTCTGCAGTTGGACCCAAGCCAGGTCCAGAGGCTATAAATAGATGGCAGAGGCATAACTGATCAGCGCGCATTAAAGGAGGGCCTGTCTCCATCAAGTCATGCTTTTTCTCTCGTGTCTGTAACAATATTTAGAGTTTAAAACCTTTCAGAGAGATTCCTTGGAACAATCCCTGCCTCAGAGGAAAATGAATTTTCCAGAAACACTGAGCAACACAACTCATGTATGTTGGTAAAAATTAAGTACATTCCTGTGTAAAATGCTTTCTCATTCAAGGTTTAGTCAGCTGCTGCTGCTTTTTAAAATCTACAATCCAAGCCTTTTGCAGGTCTGAACGATGAGTCAGTCTGTGCACCGCAGGAATGGGAAATGAACGCCAAGTTATCAGGGAAACACCAAAAAAATCAGAAAAAGGTAACATTTGAAAATGGGCCTGTAATCTTGTTTTGAGCTTTCACTGACATTTTTACCAAGGCAAACTGTCTTTCAAAATTCAGGTTAATTGAAAAATGCTGCTCATTAAACATCTAATACTCTACTGCTGAGGTCAAGACCTGAGGACGATCTGCCAGCCCTTTGTATTATTTTGAACACTAAAATATGTGATTGACCACTCAGTCTCTTGAATACCAACAGCATAGATTATCTCAATAATATAAATAAGAGGAAAAATGCATTTCAAAGATCCTATTGACATTCTTCATATAAAAGAAAAACTCCTATTTTCCCAATGAAATCTCCAGAGGAACAGAGCGCATGACTGCCGCAGGGCCGGCAGCTCTATCAGCCTCGCTCTGACACCGGCCACAGAGCCAACGCCTGTCTCCCGTGGAGACCACGGCTCAGCCCAGCCCAGAGCGCCCCCCTTCAGAGCTCTGGTCATCACCGCTCCCCAAACAGCCTCTGACTGGCTAACCTCGGTAGCCATGATTCCCTGGTTTTCTTAACAAGGGTCCAATATCTTGATTTACTATTTTAGATGCTGTTCATATTTTAAATGAGTTTGCCAACTAACTTTCATTTACTAAATGATCCCAGAAATGAAATTTTACAGAACTTAAATCACACCTCTTTTAATTACTATATCTTTTTAAAATTATCATCAAATGATCCTTAACTCACAAGTTGGAGGTGACTGCTGAGTCACCATCAGAAATGTTATGAATACATAATTATATGCTGAGCACTGTCATAAGTCCTCCACATTTATAATCTCCTTTAATCCTCACAACCACCTCATGCGGTAGGTATTGTCTCCATTTGCTGATGGAGAAACCAAGGACAGGGTTATCTGAGGCCCCAGCTAGTAAGTGGAGGGTCTAAGATTCAAAGCTGAGGGTTCTGACTCCAGAGACAATACTTAGATGCTAAACTATTAGCACTTTAATTAAAAACAATAACAAAATAAACAAACTGCCTTAGCACTAGCCCACAATTTTCTGTATATATTCATAACAGCAGCTGGCTGCAGGCTTAGCAATGCTTTTTACTCTCATGGATAATACAGTGGCCAAAAGATGCTCATTTGGGAAGTAGTGGTGGAGGAGGTAGCCAAAAACAAGTATTATAGTAACTCTACTAACATACACTTGTCAGGACATTCCTAGAGGATGAAAATGTTTCCGACAAGGACTGTCTGCAAAGTTGCTAGCTAGATGACATTTAAAAGTTTTGAGGTATTTAAAAGTTGGTATTCATTACGCTTAAAATGGTAATGGCAGGAAACCACCTTCATTCTAATAAAGAAGTCACATGTGGAAACAAAGACATGTGGAAACTCACCATATGCATGTTCTGTGAGTACCTGAGAGAGGAGTAGGGGCCCCTCTCCTTCACTGCATCGCTGCCCAAACCCTCAGCATCTCTCGCCTGCTCCCCAGTAAACCCAGCCTCTATTTTCCTCTTCTGCTAATTCACCTTCCACACAGCTCTATCCGATAGTCCCCACGTCGGCCTGTGCCACTTGTCTGCTTATCCCCTTTCGGTGGTGCTTCTGGTCTGCGGGTCAGGTCCCAGCTCTTGAAGCTTGGCGTCACACCTGCTCACGATGCCTGGCTCCCCCAAGGCCACTCCATGCCCTGCCCGCAAATGCTCCAGCAACCAGCCTGCAGTCTCCACTCATACTCCCTTCACCTGAGACCAACCTTACTTCTCTTGTCCCCTTACCTGGGTCACTCCCTCTGCATCCAACCTCAGACTCTGCTGGCTTAGTTCTGCCAACAGAACTAGGAGTTCCTTTGGGGAGCACCACCCTTCTAGGAAATAGTGCTTGCCTCTTGGTCTCCCCTTCCCTGGTCTTTCCCTCACCTGCTGGGCTAGAATGGATGTTCCCCACCGAGATCCCACAGCACACACAAGCTGTGACATCGACACGGCCCTGACTTGATCTGTCTGCTGGGCCACACCATACTCATCTTCGGATCCCCAGAGCCAGCTGCTATGTCTCCCTTTCCAGACTCTGGACAACCATGTTCCTTTCACCACCGCTGCGGACGTAACTGCAGAGATGGGAAGTGTGGACAGGCAGAAGATGCCTACCTTCCAGTTTCCAGCAGAGAGGTTCTGGAGAGATCCAGCAGAGCCCTCCAAGGTGGCAGGGTTGGAACTTTCTGCTAGAAGAGTCAGATATGGTTTTACCACCGATGGATGCCACAGCATCTCAACCCCTTTGGGGGACTTTGACAGTCCTGGAATAGGACCAACTCCATCCCACTGAAAGACAGAGCGCACACGTTACGTGAAGCAAAGTGAACACAAGCTCCAACATCGGAACACACCCCTCTCTGATGGGCTCAGCTCTAGCTATACAGAACAACGGTATCATGAAAATCACCCAACATGTGATTTCTTACTTCCAGGACGACGAAACTTTAGTTTCAAGTTAAGTAAAATACTAACTTGATCCTCTTGTGGCGCTCTCTTTTTCTTTTTCTTCTTCTTCCCCCAGCAGCTTGGCTCCGAGTCTTTGCTGGGAGACTCTTTGCCTAGTAAGTCATCCAATTCGTTCAGCCCCAGCAGCCGGGCCTGAGGGACCTCCAGTTCCAGTCGGTAGGACAGGTTCCTCAGGGTGCACACGCAGTTCTCCACGGTCTGAAACGCAACACAGCGTATAATTAAAACTATCCCAGCACATCAGTGCAAACTGCTTCTGTACTGAATGCCAATAATATTAAATCAATGTAGAATACGAAAGAGTTGTCTTGTTTTTTTTACAGGAACCTAAAACAGTCTAAGGGAAGAATTATAATTCTAGAACTTGTACAGAATACCCAGAGGACAGAATGCAGAGCCATCCAGTACATCTGAGGATCTGATTTCATGCAAATAAATGGGCAAGACCCTGAGAGAGAAAGTGCCCAGTGTTTCTGCTTCAGGGCAGCTGCAGTGGCAAATGCAGCTGAGTTGCCAGAAACTTACGCCTCACCAAGTCATCGTCATGACAACAGGTGTGATCAACCCTTGGGGGGGACTGCCCTCCCCCCAAGTCCCATCTTTGTCTCCTCCTTCCACCTCCCAACTCTCCCCACTCTCTGTGCAAAGCTCCATGATCTTTTTTCTCTGTGGAGAAACTGCCTTCTGTACTTGGTCTTTTGCTCCTAAAGCTTGTATCACATCTCTAACTGGGAGGCCAACAGTCAATTCGCTGAGAATGCCTAACATCAACTTCAGCTTTTGCTCAGCAAACTCCCTTCCCACTGCTCTCTCCTTCATTTTCATTTGCAGATCTCCTGGTTCAAGAAGGCTCAAATAAAAACTGGCCATCCCCATCTTCTCTCTGAGCCCACCACTCATCATTCTTCTTCTCTCTCTCAGACCCATATTTACAACCCAATGACTTCTTATGGGCTCTCCTGATTCTGCCTGTGGTTAACACCAAGTGTCCAGCTGGCCTTGAACTCCTGACACTTTTAAGTCCCTCCTGCTGTTTCTCCCGACCTTCCTCAGTCCCTGATCCTAAAGGAGCTCGGGCTGGGAACAGACTATCCTGATATTAGAGGGAGAGGAAGGGCCAAGATTGGGATGAAAGAGAGGCACCTGAAGTTGGTGCTGGAGCCCTGGAGCCAGGCTGTGGGTGTATGGAGGGGTTACAGTGCCTGGCTAGGAACTTTTATCCAGTCGATACTCAAATACAGGTGGATCTGGTTCTGGCAGGAGGAATACAGAATTGGAAGGAAAAGCAGTAGGGAAAATCAACAAAGGGTTCAGGGAGCCACAGAGAAAGTTAGGACCCTGCAACTGCTAGGTCCTTTACCACATGGAGTCACTCAGTTTTCCCTGTTCTGGGGCTACTTTCTGAAGTCGTCATGTTCCTTGTGAACTTGTAATTTTTAGAGATCATCCCCTTCCCTTTTCCCCCCTTTAATCTGGAGAGTAGCCAAATGAGGGAAGAGGCTTAGGAATTCCAGAAAGAATCAATGGCTTGCAACTAGTGGTGTTAGGCAGCTGCTGTCCTTTGCCATCTTACCCCCCCCACGGCCAGGCAGGCACTGACCTTGCTGTCGTAATCGGATGTGTTCACACACGTGTGGATCACGTACAGCAGTGAGTCCACCAGCCCCTCACAGGATCGCATCTGCTTCCGGGCTTCCTCCCCTGCAGAGCTGAGGTTCCTAAACGGAGAGACATAGGGAGCTGCTGAGATCGACCCACCGACAGCCACGGAGCCTTACCTCAGTGACCTGAGAGAAGACGGTGGCCATGAAGGTTTGTTCTGAGTAGACATTCTGGGGCTTACATTTTAACATTCCGAGAGCTCACAATAGCTGTCTCCCCATGATCCACACAAAAAGAAGGGAGCAGGAGCATCTGAGCCTTCCCTCTTGCACATGTGGCTTGCCACTTTCTAACCTCCTAAGATAATGATTTTGGGGTTTATCCTCCTCGGTTTCCTCATAGGTAAAAGTGGAGAATAATAGTAACTATTTCATAGGGTTGTTGTGAGGAAGCGATGATTTGCTGCATTTAAAGCAATTAGTGAAGTGCCTGCCACATAAAATCCCAGTGTTTGTCAGTCATGCTTGTTGTTTTAGACTCGCATTACCCGCCTTGTTAGGCCTGAAGGTCCTTCCAGTCCCTGTGACCATTATGTTTTGCATATAGCAGGTGGCCATGAACACTTCTCAATGAACACAGGAAGCAGCATTTTTTTCTATAAACATTCAAGTTTAATATGCACATTTGCTTATGCTGTAATTTTTATAATCTTTCAGTTATTTAAAAAAACCTGAAAATTGTTTTAGGTCTTATCCATTTTGAAATGTTTGATATCAGTTTGCCTTCATGAATTGATACCAAATCAGAAAATTTTTTTATGTCCCATTTACAAGATCTTAGGCTAACTCTGACATTTTGCAAATCTTAAGATTTTCCTTTTCATCTTTATTTTTCTGGGGCCAGAAAGGTAATGCCACCTGTGGTCCTTCCTGTCACCTCTCAGCAGCATTCAGCAGCAGCCTCTTGCATTCCTTCACAAGCTCCTGGCCCCTCTTGGCTGGTTCTCCTCTCATCTTTCTGCATTTCCTTCGCAGCCTCTCTGCCAGTGGGTCCCTCTGGACTGTCCGGGCTATATTGATCCCTTCTTGCCTTTATCTCTGCCCTCTCACAGGTGGCCCTTCCTTCTCTCCTTGGCTTTCATATAGCCTATGGACCCCTAACTCCCAAATGTGGATATTTAGCCTGGCCTCTCTCTAGAACTCAAGACCCACTTAATCCAATTGCTTCCAGGATACTACTGCATAAGGACCTAATTAGACAGCCACCTAATGGATGTGGCCAACACTCTCACCTGCTCTCCCTCCACCCTTTATCCTCTCTGACTTACCCACAGCACTTCTGTGCTCCTAGTTGCTCCAGCAAGAGCGCTAGGCGCTATCCTTCTACCGTCTCTTTCCCTTGCCCTGATATCCAGTACATTAGCAAACCCTGCCAGCTCTCCTTCCATGAAACACCCCCCATCTGCCTACCTCTCCCTAGTGCCTGGTCTAGGTCACTGTCACCTTGTCTGGGTCACTCACTGAGCAGCCTCATCTTTTGTCTCTATGTTGCCCACACTCAGTTCTCCACATCACAGCCAGAAACCAGTCCATCACTCCCATGAGTCAACCCTCTGATGGTTTCCCATGGCACTTGGAATAAAGTGCAAACTCTAGTCTTTGATTTTAAAAAATCCTACATAATCCGATTCCACTCTGTGCCTTGACCATTCCTGCCTGAGTCTTTACCCTACGCATCACTGCAGCCTCAAACCCTCAAACTCATGTCCTCCTGACGCCCCACCTTCAAATGGATAGCTCCTTAAGGTTTTCAGATGTTTGGTTTAAATTTCACCTCCTGGGAGAGACCATCTGATATTCAAAACAGTCACCTAAAAACCCTGACACCACCCTATTTTTTTAATGGGCACTTACTGTGACTTTCTGTTTGTCTGTCTTCCCCAATAGTCTATCTTGTTCATTGATTCCACAAGGAAGGCATTCACAAATGTTTATAATCATGAACCACTGGAGAGCCTGGGCGTGTGTCCTGCCCCTGGGCGTGTGTCCTGCCCCAGGACCTTCCTGGAAGTCTGGCTGGCTGGCTGACTGAGGAGTAATCGCAGCCCCCTGGATCCAGGTGCGGGGAGAGCAGGATGCTGCTCCCACAAATGACCAGTAGGTGATAGGAACTGTCTTTAGACAGGCATCCGATTTGGAAGCCGGCCTGTTCTCCAGGATCCTTGAGGGGGCTGGCAGTCACCTGTCACAACAGCGAAAGGCTTCAGGGCAGCAGCCAGGCCTCCCTCTGCCTCTCCCAAGCTCTCCGTTGCAGAGATGTTCAGGCATCTAATAGTGCTCACTGTGTCACATACTAGTGGAACGCTAAGCACTTTACACAAGCTGATTCTTCACAACTCTCAGGTGGTACTATTGTCCCAAAAAGGTGAGGATACTGAGGCTCAGAGTGGGATGGGAAGCCAGGTGCCTGAAGCCAGAGACCCCTCTCATCGTCACCAGGCTGCTCTGTCCCGGGCACTGTAAGTCAGGGAAACTGGGCAGAAATTGAGCTCATGAGTGTGAATGGCAACTAAAGAGCAATACTGCTTACACTTAAGGGAGGCTTTATGGAGTCTACATGCTAAAGATAATGATGGAAAATACTATTTGGGCATGTTTTCATTTCCTTACAAAAACCAAACCCAATGATGGTTTAAACCACACACCTCTTTGCACTCTTTTGAAAACAAAAATGCTTTAACCATCACATTTTGAACTTAAAAACCAAGTTACAACATTAGGAATCAGGATGTGATAACCAGAAAAATGCTGGTCAAGTGGAAAACGCAGGAATTTTGGCAGAATTTCAGACGGAAAGGCCCTTTGACTAAATCACAGAGGAGTCATTTATAAGATAATGTCTTTCAGGCTCCTAGTCTGAGCTCATGATGTTTTCTTCACAGGAAAACCAAGTATAGTGGCCTACATTTTGAAACAAACTTGAAAATGTAGGTAGGTGTCAACAAAATAAATTAAACCCTCCTATGATTTAATCACTGAATTCATTAGGAAAAAAAAGATAAAGACTTTACCTCAGGCAACCTGTTGTGTTACGCAGAACGAGTGAAGTCTGAAATTTAATTTTATGATCATCATCAAAAGAAGAGTTATTCCATCCAGAGTGTGGAACAATCACAGTGTTTGTTAAGGTCGAGAGAGCATCTCGAATGATTGTCATCTTTACAGCATCACATGAGGATAAATTCCAAAGAACTCCTAAAAATGAGATTTTAGACATCACATCATGAAAGATGCTGCAATTTTAGTGACGAAATAAACATAAAGCTCTAATTGATGTGAACCCAGTCTGCTCTAAACCTAATCTATTGCATCCAGGCTGGGCTGGGGCCCTGATAAATGGCGAACAAACATAGGTGAGCTCCTGGCACTATTACAAAGCTGGGACAGCCCTCTCTCAAGTTTTAGAGCCTATGTATCCATCAGGCAAGACAACTATGGCTTTTGCAAAGCAAATGAGTTGCTCTATGAGGTGAGGGCACAATCCAGTCACAGGTCATAATATAACACATCTATGATTGTTGTAAAACTGCCATTCATTGCCTTTTCCCTTTCGTTCAATGTTCTGTGAGACAAACCATTTTTAGAACTTGGAGTAATCTTTTTTTTTTTTTTTTCTCAAAAGACTGACATGTCTCTCCTCATCATGCTTTCTCTTCTTATTTTTGGTACTGTGACACTCACACTTAATGCAGTAGCTTTAATGGCACAGAGAGTGGCTACCTTTGCTTCATATTTATTTAGATAAGGTTTGGCTATTTCTATTTCCACTTTAAGAGTTTTATTACCATGTGTTTTAGAAGTACAAGTTACTGCCACTCTGCCTGGATACAGGTGAACCTCAAGAAATTAAGTCACCATACTGTAACTGATAACAAGATTGCTAGGACTAATGACCTAGAATGTAGTTTATTAGAATGCTATCAAAATTGTAAGCACATTAGATTATCTTCATATGTGTCAACTATGCGGTGGCTTAAATTATTATTGTAGCACACATATTTTCTAATAATTACTCTAAGAGCAAATTCAAGATTACATCTACTCTAATGTCATTTCCAATTCAATGCCTTTTCCTAAATAAGAGGGAAGGAGGTAGAAGAGAAGTGGTCCTTAGAACCCTGCATGCCTGATGTATCCCTTGGCAAGCTGCTCAAGTCTGCACCGGCTCTCAGAACCCTCAACACTTGGCCGGCTGAGGGGAAGGAGTCAGCAAAATCTGCCATGTCTGTGGGGGCAGGTCAGGCTTGTGAACATGACTGAGCAAGAGTATGGGCCAGCAACAAGGACCCAGGAGCCAGCCTGGAAACAGCACAGGACCCTTTATGAGGGAGGACGGTCCAGAGAGCTGACAAAAACTTATTTTCTTTTTCTTTTTGGAGGGAGGAGAGGGAAAAGCAAAGAGCTAGAAAGAAGGTAGTGCAGCAATACTCTGCCGACTCACCAAGAGAGGACCATCCCTTGCTTGAAAGCAAGCCTGCCCTGACCCGGCCACATGGGGGCTGTGAGGATGCGGTGGAGGGAAAGGTCAGCTCCACCCTGGGAAGACCTGTGGGTCTGTGGTCTACTATACTCCACACTGTGCCTGCTCCTCTCCCCTTTCACATGGCTTTGGCTCCTGTACCTGGGCTTCCCTGTTCCCTCTGCTCCTCCCCTTTGCAGCTGGAGAGCCCACCAGAACCACAGCTTTTTAGGACCTCTGCTTCAGCAGAGCCCATCTAGTCAGGCCTGGAGAGGGACGTGGGTGGGAAGAGGGGCAAAGTCTTGCTTGGTCTCTGAAACCTTGTTCTTCCCACCAGGACAGATCATTGCTTGTGTAGCCAGAGCTGGCACACAGCAGGGAGGTCCTACCTGTGCTTATGGACCAAACTAAAATTCCACAGGCAGAGCGAGTCCTCCATGGATTCTGAGAAAATGGGCTGTACGTTTCTACATAAAATGGCTTTACACTGTGCCACCTGGATTCTGGGCGTTGGTGGACTCAGGGGGGGGGGGGTCTTGTGAGGAACGGGGGAGTGATAGGGGTTGAGCTCATGATCCCCATCCAGTTCACCCAGAGCGGCTTCATACTAATCTCTCAAGATTGGGTTTCTTTGGGTGTTTCTGTTTTAAAAAGAGTCTTGGGTCCCACAGACATTTGAATAGCACTGTCTTAGTGGAAAAGGATTAGAGGACTGATAACCACAGAAGGGGCCTGGGAGTTAAAGATGAGTCTCTGGAGGTCTGGCCAAGCCTAATAATAAGAGATGGGAAGCAAGACAGAAGACAGAATGGGACGAGGCATGAAGGGTGCCATGAATGGAGCTCTAACATTTCCTGCTAACAAGGCCAACCATACTCCTCCCAGGGCATTGAAGGGCCAGAGTCCAGGCTCTGGTGAACAAGGGTCATTTCATAACCATCCCTGCTGACAGTTTGATGGCATGTGATTCCTAATGCCATCGGAGCACATTCTCTTTCTGACAAAGCTTTCAAATTCCTCAGTCCACAAAATTCATCACGTAGGGAGAGCTGCAGTTTCTAATACACATTCCAGCAACGTTAACAGCAAGGTAAGGCTTGTAGAAAGCAAAACCTATCATAACATAGGCTCCGGGTATAAAATTAGATCTCTCTTCAGAAAATTGGACAGCGTGAGTCACAAACTTCAGGTGAAAATACGACTAAGGGGGTGGTTCTTTAGTACGTTGGAGCTTGGAGTTGAGGCTGAGCAGTTCTTTGATGGTTGGCAGAAAAGCTTGTTTTTCATGGGTCCTGCCTCCACTCCTGGCTGCTTCTAAGACCTACTTTTGGTAAAAGGCTATTTCCCAGATTTGCAATTTTCCATGATTTTCTATGTAGGTTCGAGAATTCTGTACTGCTTTCTTTTTCTTACTTGGCACTTAGAACTGGTGTAGATATTATCCTACAGTTTACTATTAGCCTTTACATCTTCATGGGCTTGAAGAGCATCAATGTCCATAAGTCAATATAAACAAGAATGACCATTTGCTGTTTGTTTTTTCTTACTGTCTTGGGAATTGTGTGCTTTACATATAATACTTTAAGGAGTCAAGCTGCACAAAATTAACTTCCCATTTATTTTGCAGGCTTGAAACTTTAAAATGTTTTTATTGACTTTTAGAGAGAGGAAAAGAAAGGGAGATAGAAACTTCGATGAAAGAGAATCATGGATTGGCTGCCTCCCGCACACCTGCTACTGGAGATTGAGCCTGAAATATGGGAATGTGCCCTGACTGGAATCTAACCATCAACCTCTTGGTGCATGAGCCACAGCAGATGGGCAAGGCTTGACATTTTACATGATATTTTAAAGGATGATAAACATTAGCATTTCTAAATTTAATTTTAATTTACATTTTATTAAGCAAATATATTGAAGAACAAAACTCTACCACCCTACTTTTATGTCTTGTTACACATATGCAGGGAATATAACAGTTACTCAAAAATATTTGTTGATCGATCCAATTTATATTCTATTTGTTTTTGGATTTCCCCTTTATTTCCTTGACTGTCAAACTTGGCTATTAAATATTACCTCCCTTGCATTCACGACTGTCTTTAAGTTCTATGAGGAGAAGGTTAGAACAAAATTCTGGATCTTTAAGGTAACTTGCCAGCATAGTTTTGCCTGCCTTTCACATGAAGACTCAAACAGATGGTTGTTACACAATTTTAGCTATGGGTATAGAAGAATCCCATTGCTGCTCCATCTCTTCAAATCAACATGCCCAACTTCCCATTCCTTAAATTTCTAACAAGAAAGGATCAGTGATGTCCAATTATAAATAAATTGCTAAAAATATGTAACCCTTCAGTAGACAAGGTGATTATGCTACCTTTTGGTCAACTGAGTTGAATTATGGATCATAAAACCAGTGTACCAGTAATAGTGTGGAAAAGTCAAGCTTTCATTTTTGCAACTTCAAAAAAAAAATATTCAAAATTATTCTTGACCAGAAAAAAACGTGTGTATGTTTTGTTCTGTTTTAAATTTTTGCTGAGTCTGTGGCACTCAAGGGACCCACATAAAGACAGCTTTGCCATCTGCACTGTAAGTTATGGTCCCAGCCTTCCTGCACCTTACCGCACAGCACAAAGGGTTAGGACATTTGGTGTGGATTTAATTGGCCATTTCAAATATCAAAGCAAATCTTAAGATATTGGCTTTTCTTCCTCACTTTCTATTTCAAAAGTAAGGTTATGGAAAGCCAAAATAACCTGTTCTAATGAATCGATATTGAATGTAGAAGGTTCAATTAAACGTAAAAGCCTTGGTTACGGCTGCATTAATTTAGCTTTTCTACTCAAAAGTAAAAAGCACAATTCTTAAGGCCAGCTAATAACACCTGTGTACACTCCACTCCACTAAGGTAGTAATAAAACAGTGTTCTCTCCACTTAGTCTGTATAGGGCTTCATTTAATGGATCAGGAAGAGTGTTGCCAGAGAAGTACATATTGAATAGAAGATACACCAACTCCCAGAGGTAGAAAGGCAGATGAGCAAGTACAGAGCGGTGGGATGAGCACTTTTCATCATCATGATAAACCTTTAGCTCCAACATTCTAATGTAAAAATTGCTTTAAAAATACTTAGCAGCACACCCCATGATCTCCTGGTTCCCAAAGAGAAAATTAAAAATAAAATATAATTTAGTTTAGAATGCTTGAGGTTTTATTTAATTTAAAACAATTAGCTATTTGTTGTGAGGACTAAGAATATAAATATACAAACTAATTTAGAAAATACTAGGCTGTGGAATCAAATAAACATAATAAATTGATGAACCAAACAGGCCCAGAGGCATCAATGCAGAGAACAGGCTGAAATATATCTGGGGTGTGTGTGTGTAGAGGGGGTGAGGGTAGGGTAAAGGGGGACGGGAAAAGATTAACCAAAGAACTTGTACACTTACTAGAGGCCCGGTGCACAAAAATTCATGCATGGGGAGTGGTGTGGGGTGGGGGTTCTCTCAGCCTAGCCTGCATCCTCTTCAATCTGGGATTCCTCTCACAATCTGGGACCGCTGGCTCTTAACTGCTCACCTGTCTGCCTGCCTGATTGCCCCCGAAGTGCCCCCACCTGATGGCCTGGTCACACCAAACTGCCACCCCAACCAGCCAGGTCATCCCAAACTGCCCTCCCCCCACCAGCCTGGTCACTCAGTAATGCCTCCCCCTCCTCCACTGTGGG